TTGTAAGCAATCTGCAAAAGTCAACAGCCTTGCCAGCTATTGGTTTCTTCTGCGTGGTTGTCACGTACAGCTCCGTGAAAATTTTTGACGGGAATATGGATAACTCGGGGACTGGGAAAGCTGGGCACTTGAAATTTTAATGGAATGTTTCCAGCCTATGTGCAACTTAAATTTATCAAATTCAGCCCCTGTTACGCGTTTCACTACCATTCGGACTGAGATGAAAGCGAGTAGGGAGGGGAGTTTTAACATTTTTTTTTTTCTGTTCAAAACAATTGTTTTTGGGAAAGTGGACGTGCTGGACGTGACGGCGATGAAGCATATTGCATAATGTATTATTGTTTAAACGATCTCTTCCGTCAGAGTACAATGGTATGTACCGAAAAAACCGGCCTACGTAACTTGTATTCCATGCTGGCATACTGCACACAGGTACATATGTGTTTTAACTGCTTATTTTTGGGATTTCTGTGAAAATTTTTCTCAGCAGATGCTGAGAACGGTGTTAGGCCATAGTAGTTGTGACTCTATTTACTCATTTTTTGTTTTTTTGGGAAGAGTAATAATCTTTACATACATTGGTGGAGATTTACTTGGGCTGCATTGTGCATAAATTTTCGAATATCTGTGCCCCTGGTGATCAGTTTTGGATACATTTACATGTGGTGGTAGTAATCTCGCATTTTACAATTTTTTGCATGAATCTGCTGCGGAAATATGATGTGATGTATGACTAAAGCATTGGCGGGAGGTAAGACAGTGATCTTTATGTTTTGCCCTGTTGTGGCATGTGTTTTATTGAGTAGAGGTTGTGAGCAAGGTTGAGGGACAGCCAGTGCGCCTCTCCAAGTGCACAGTGTGTGCACAGTGCCGGGCCGCTTCCGCCCAATCGATCGCTCCCCGGCCACCGCGCACTCCGTGCTTGCACCGCTGTTTCCTTTTACGATTGTTTTGTTATTATGAGTTTTTTGCAGCAATGTAATGCGAAAAATGCATATTGACGAGAGGTTGTCTGTGTGTGTGTGTCTGTGTGTGCGCTGCGCGTCTGTACCGATTTT